TTGCTTTATGTATCGTTGTAAGTCATTGTAAGCCCTCTTTTGAGGCACGTGCAAGGGCACGAACCCCCCCCCCCCCCCTTTTAAAAAAAAACAAGTGGGGACTATTTGTGGGTGGCTGTTTGTTGTTTCACCTATCAATTCGTGTCGATAAAGTATAATAGGGTAAATCCTGTATATTGATTTTTCCTATATAGTGCTAGCATAAAGCAAGTAATGTATCTATGTAAGACATTGTAAGCCCTCTGCCCCCCCCCCCCCCCCATTATAAAAAAAAACAAGTGGGCTCCCCAAAAGAACACGGTATAGTTCGAACACTGCCTGTAACTTTACCTGTATCAGTGGAGCTGCTACCTCCATTGCCTGCGACCTTGACACTAGGAGGCCCCCCAGGGCTAGGCATAGTAGTTTTGGGTGAGGCATTCCAGCCAGGTGAAGCAACAGGCATGGTTGGAGATTTAAGGTGTCCAGGGGAGCCAGACGGTGAGCGAAGACCAAGAGAAGAGCCCATTACCTGGGGGGACTTGATAGAGGTCGAAGAGGGTGTTCCAGCCCCAGAGGCTGCAGGTAGAGGAGGGTGAGTTGGACCACTCTGTGGTAGTTGGCTGGGTGATTTCAGGCCTGCTGCAGAGGGTGAAGGCATGAGGGGTGATGGCTCCTGACTAAGAGAGGGTGATTTGAGCTGGTGAGATGGGGGTATAACTGGGGAACCCATTGGGTTAACACTAATGGGCAGATCAGGAGGGTGTCGGGCACCAAGGTCTGTACCTCTTGAGCCAGGGTTCATGGGAATGTGACTAAGTCTTGAGGTGTTGCTCATGTGGGGAGGACCTGGCTGGTCTGGTCCAAACATATCAGGGCCTGGCTGCTGCATATATGAGCCATCACCCTGACTACCAGGAAAGGAGCTCTGGTTGGGAAACTGAAGAGGTCCATCTGGGCCAGGGATCATTCCTTTGTTAGCACCACCCCGGCCATTCTGTGAAGCCCTAATGCGGGAGATGTCATCAGGGTTCAACATCTCCCCAATCGGCACACCAATTCCAGGACCCCCCCTCAGCTTCTGAACCAACAACTGCTGCCCTTGTGGATTCATATTCATGCCCATATTCATACTGAGGTTACCCCCTAAAGGAGAGTCAACTATGTCTCTCATTGTGGGGCCACCATCACTGCCTACTCCACCAATAGGAGAGCCCATTATAGTCCGAGAACCAGGAAAGTCCATTGGATCACCACGGGAGGGCGGGCCTCCTCCCATTCCAGGATTGGGGAAGCCTGGTCCCCCAGTATTATCCATCATCCTAGGACCTCCAAGTCCTGCCTGCTGTTGCTGTCTGGACATTTGCTGCAAGTCCAATCTATGGAGTCTGCGGAACATCTCTTCCCGTGTTATGGGGCGATCCAAATCACCCTGAAAGGGCTGGTGAGGTCCCCCAGGCCCCCCTGGAGGATAACACCCATGAAATGGGCCTCCAGCACCCATGTTTGGAGGCATCTCGTCTAGCCAACCCATGCCTGGCCTTGGAGGTCTTTGAGGCCCTAACCCCTCCATACCTAGAAGACTTTCTGGGTAACCCCCACCCCCTGAAGGACCTCGCATCTGTCCAAGAAACCTTGGCCCTCGAGAACCTTCCTGATGCATGTCTTTTAGTTGTGAATTCCCTCCCATTCCTCCCCCTACCATTGGCCCTGGCCCCCACTGTTGATCACCAGGTTTACTATGATATGGTGGTGGGGGTCCCCTCATCAGCATTTGAGGCCCCCCAGGCATGCCCATCTCTGGCATCATGCGGAAATGCTGGGGATGTTGGTGGGGGTTCATCTCGTGTTGCCGCCTTTTTTCCTGGTAGTACTCTTCTTGTAGCTTCCTCCAAGCTAGCTGCTCTGGTGTTACACCTTCGGGTCCCAGAAGGGGCCCCATGTCTAACCCTGAGGGTGAGGAGAGGTGGTGGGAATGTGGTGGCATGACATGGTGTGGGCCCATCAGTGAGTCATCCAATCCAGGCCCACCAAGATTATGTGTCTGTGAAGTGATTCACTTGTAAACATGTATGCCCAACCATCATTTTAAGAAAAGGTAAAAAGCAATAATAATTTTTATTTATTTATCAAATACATATGAAATGTTTTATTATTATTTAAATATTACTCCTAAATATTAAAAACTGTCAGAATATTATCATTATAATGAAATATCAATCCAATAACCTAAATGTTTGTTTACTACCATAAAATCTTCCGGAAAACCACAAGGAGGAGCTAAATCCCACAGAAAACTTCCCAGACCTTCAGTTCCATTATGAACTTCTGATGGCTTAACATGCACGTCATGAATTTATGTGGGCAGATATGAAACACTGAAGATTTGTACAAAATGAAAAACAAACAGGCCATTTTCTGTCTCATGAATGTCACACAAAATGAATTTTTGAAACTTTGATTCATCTTAATGTCTTAAAAAAATGTTGATATGACTCAGGCAAAGTCAAGGTTACAGAGCGGGACATTTTCTTTAAAGGGCAATACAGAGTTTGTTAGGGGTGTTGTGTTGCGCTTGTGCAGGTAATGTTACACAACACACTTTCAGTGACGTGTCTATACACAGATAAGGAAGGCTGAGTTTACTTCACAAGAGGGGACAATAGCTTTTAAAGCTCAATGTCATACCTCTAATACCATTAAATGGCAAGTTCACAGTCAAATGCCAACAATACATTTTAAATTTATAATATTTCAACTGCTTTTTCATATACAAATGTCACTATAAGTTGTAGTTAATGCCTTAGGAACCATACTAAACCCATTCTAGTTTAGTAATAGTGAACTCGCTGGTATAGAAAAATATCATAAAAACAAAATTTACAATACAGCTGATTGTTTCCCCAAGTTTTCTTCTCTTTTATCAATAACTGTATGCCAATTGTCAGTCATCAGCAGTTGTTTTAAAGTGATATTTCACCCATGAAATTCTTTCATCATTTACTCCTGATAGTTCTCCAAACCCCCACACAAGGAGGTTTAGGCATTACATTTACAGCCTCAGTTACCATTCATTTTTATTGCATCCCTCTTTAAACTGTACAGTGAAGGTTTGAATTGTGACAAAGATAATCAATCAGATAAACTTCTCCTCTTGTGTTCCACAAAATCAAGTCATACAGGGTTTGGGTAGACATGAGTGTCCTTAAATGAAGACAAAACCTTCTTTTTGGTCGGACTATCCCTTTAAGACATTTTCTTTTCTTTTTTGGCCTATGCAGTATACTATACAGTATGCCTCCTTTGTGCTGAGAAGCTGTTTGGGTGAATCTCATGTGACCTGTCAGGAACATGCCCTAGTTATATATCACCCCAAAATCAAAAGAAAAAAACAAATATACATACATGCATATATATGTTTTTATGACAATTGATCACATTCGTACCAACTTAATTCTCTTTATAGTAATGCAGTGGTAGGTTCATACACTTTGAGACATTCAAATCTACCATGATGATGATACATACGAGAACCAATGAAATTGGAAGTGCTGTCAGCATAGATAAACTCAGCAAGTGTTGAATCCCACATCTTTAATATGATGCATTATGCACTGCTGCATTTTATACATATACCTTTATTTATTTCAGAATGTCAATTTTTTTAGCGCCATAAAAACTGATGTTTCTATGGAATGATATGAAAGCAGCAGTGCAGTTCATAACTGTTAGTAGGGCTGTTTTTTTCTCAATCCGTTTTTTGTTTGCTGTGCAAACAAGCCTTCAAATGCTTCTTTCTCAGATTCTCTCTGGTACAGAATAGCAAGTAGCGCAGGGCGTGCATACACTCCAGGATTGTGGTCAACTGACAGATGCACAACCAAACTCAGACACACACACACACAGAAATATAAGGCTTTGAAGATGACACTAAAGCAGTCTAAGAGAGTACCAGTGTGAAGTGTTGCAGTGGAAGACTAATGACTGTTTTAACATCTGATGGTTGGACAAGATTTAAATGGTGTGCATTTATAAAAGTAGTTTTGTTGGCTTGTCTATCTATCAACATTCAAACTTTAAGCTAATAAAACAAATGTTCTGGTCATGCTTTCCCAAGACAACATAATGTTTGTCTTGATGAACTTTTTATGTAGTCGTGTATTTATTCTTTGTTTGTGTGTGTATGATATAATTGTATTTATCAGATTATTGATATTTCAATATTCTTACTTTTTTTTTCTTTTCTTAATATACCTTTATTCATAATAGTCTCTTTTCACATTTCCGGGGTTCTCAGAAGTGGAAGTCGTCATGGTTGAGTAAACTGTTATAGTGGTGAACAGAAACTACAACAAATAGGGGAAGATGGGGGAAGAAGCCCCCTGGGACAAGATAACCCCACTCACCTTTAATTGTCCTCTTGACCACAGATAGTGACAAAATTCACTTCAGCATATTTATAAATTGCTTGCGCACTAATTAATGTTGACATTTCATGAGAGAAATTGTATTTGTGAGAGTAATTTCATTAGAACGGTTTTGAGGTAAATTTATCTAATTTTCTGATATTTCAAAAAGTTTATATGTGAATTTGTTCACTGTGGACTTGAAAAAAATAACTTAGATCTGAAGAAAGAAACATATATATTTTCTGAAATGTAAAGATAAAGATGGCCCCCTCAAATCGGGCCTGAAGATGTTCCCTTTCATAATTTTAATTTTTTTGCCATTACAACTAAATTGATAATTGTTTCCATTTGATTCCAATTCCTAATGTGCTGCTTATTAATAGTTAGTAAGGTAAGTGTTAAGGTTGGATTAAGATATCTAAAATATGGTCATGCAGAATAAGGCAATATATGGCAATATATTAATATGTGCTTTAAAAGTACAATATAAACAGCCAACACCCTAGTACTATGCATGCATGTTAATAGTGAGAATTGGTCCTTAAAATAAAGTGTTATCAAAAAATGTATTGATTTTGTTGGTCAGAAGAGAGAAAGATGTCCAATTTGCCATCACTCCATCAGCTGTTGTATTAAAAAACACCCATTACAGTTTTTTGTATGTAATGCCAGTATAACATAACACGAAGTATAGTGTTATAAAAAATTTTTTTTTTAAGTTTTTTAATAACTTTGTTTTTTTTTGTTTTTCACTGGATCAACAGCACTGTGTGTTTTTACGACAACTACGTCAACCAGACGTTTGTGTAAACAGTCTACAGGAAGAAACATTCATTAAGATTTATAAGACAGTATTTATGTACAGGTTCAGACTGGCAGGCTGTACTTTGTGTATGTGTGTGTGTGTGTGCGAGAACTCACGGTGAGTGGCAGAAAGGGGTTTCTCATCCTCTTCCTCAGTTTCGGCCCCTGAGCACCATTCATCACCACTGTACGGCTGCTTTCTCTCCAGCACACACCGCCGTTTGCTGCGCATCACTCCCTCTACTGGACACCATTAAGAAAAACACAAAGACACAGCTATGTAAACATATTTAGAATCAGTTACACATATTTATATAAGACAGTATGGCTTCTATCCACACTGATATAAGCCAACGCCCACAATCTGTCTCAAAAAGCCAATTTAAACCGGATAGCATTCTCACAAACTCCAGACACAGAGTACTCCCGAAATGTTTTGGCATTTAAGCGGAATGAGAGGACACACAAGGCCTCCAAAGCCTTGAAACATCCTCTATCCTTGAATACCAGACACAGTGAGGGAGAAAACAAGGGAGAGAGAGAGTGAAAATGAGAGGAAGAGAGAGAGAGCGAGCACAGCGTTAGGTTGTGGTGTCCTCGGCCTGCGTATGCAGAGATAAAGAGCTGACCTTTTCTGCATCCTCTTTTGTTCCCAGCAGACATCAGTTTACGTAAATGAGTGAGTCAGCTCTCTCTCTGGTCTACTTTCTCTTTAATCATTGGCCCTTTCCAGGTGTGGCAGTCGAGTGGTCTGAAGTGGATGGGTGACTTGCATTTCATTTGAATGCCTTTCTGTTTGCTTTTCTATCGGGTGAACAATAGAAGCAGAGAAAGAGAGAGAGAAAGTCAAGATAAAAGGAAAGGTTCCCTGATAAAGAGCTGGATAGAGACAAAGTTCTCACTTCCCCATTTCTGATCATCTCCACCATTATTTATTTTAACCAAAACTAAAAGTAGAATCAAGCATTCCTCCAAAAACCAAAAACGTTGATGACTTGACAGTCCATCATTGCTATTATGATTTAAAAAAATAAATAAAATATAATAATAATAATATATAAATAAAAAATAAATATATATAAATAAATAATATATAATAATAATAATAATAATTAAATGAAATAATGAAAATAATATGCATTTATGCAATAACAATTACAATTTTGTAATAATTGATAATTTTTACATTTTAAAAATATTAAAAAATTAAATAAAAATAAAACTAACAAAGTTCATCATTATTATTGTGGGGGGAAAAAAAGATTTTTCGGAAGTATTTTTCCTTTGAATTAACATGATAAAATATTTTAGTGTACTCCAATAAATAGTCATACTAGAGCTGTCAAACGATTAATCGCATCCATAATAAAAGTTTTTGTTTACATAATATGTGTGTATATTTATTAAGTATATATAAATACAAACGCACGCATGCATATATTTAAGAAAAATATATGTTATGTTTATATATTACATATATTTATATATAATATAACAATATAAATATATAAATGCACATACATGTAAAAATTTTCAATATATATACAGTACAGTATGTGTGTGTATTTATATATATATATATATATACATACACATAATAAATACACAGTACACACACATATATTATGTAAACTTTTATTTTGGATGCGATTAATCTCGATTAATCGTTTGACAGCACTAATTTAAACTTTTTAAATTCAGAAAAAAATGACCTTTTCAAAGGGAATTTTTCTGACCCCGTTAGCAGATATTTGTTCTTGTTTTAAGCATAAACTCATTTCATTTAGATACATTTCTCAGAAAACAAGACTTCATATCTTCATTTTGCATCTCAGGTAAATGTATCTTGCCTTAAGGAAGCTAGATATTTGTACTAGAAAACAAGACAAACAATACTGAGATATACATTTTTTGCAATGCATGCAACATTAACTTCTTGACTTTACGAATTTACGACTTTCTGCTCTGATTCAAGACATGTTTAAGGAAAGGTGAATTAAGACTTACATTATTATTATGATTTTAAAAAAGTGTACTCTAATAAAGAATAATATTTAAAATGTAAAAATATTTAAACATTTTTAAAACTAATAAAGTTGTTAATATCATTTTTTCCAATAATTTATAAAAAAGATCAATTCTATTTTCAACTATAATAACCCCACCTTCTAACTTCCAGACAGGTGTGAGTGTTTGTGTGAAAGAGTGAGAGTGTGTATGCACACACAAAAGAGCTTCAGTGCTATTACAGGAAGCCCAGATGACTCAGTTTCTCAAAATCACTCTATTGCCCCGTTATTTCCCCTGATCTCTCTCTCTAATACACACATGGCATACACAAAGCACCAGGCAAATGGAAATAAAATAAGAACTGCACAATGAATCAAACAAAAAGAAATGGCACACACACAGTGAAAAGAAAAACACGCCTCCGCAATCCAAGAAGAGAAGACCTGTTATTGCCTTTTATATTGGACAGAAGCAGTTTGGCTGAATCTCACAAGTCTTGTCAGCAACACGCTCTGGGCATATTTCAACCCAAATCAAAAGAAAGAATAAGGAGGTATATTTTGCAAAGATAATATGCATTTTTATGACAATTACGCACATTCTCACCATGTACAGTTGTCATTATTGTAATTTAGTCGTGCAAGTCTCATTCACTTGCACACATTCAAATCTACCGCGCTGTCAGTGACGGTCACAATTCCAAGGAGCATGAGTTGATTCTTGCATCTTTGATATGATACGTTATGCACTGCTGCATTTAATATCTAACTTTCTCCTTCCAGAATGTTCATTTTCTGTGGCATAAAACCTGGTTAACAATAACATGGACTGACACTGAACAGCATCTTATCTGTAGTGGCATTCATAACTGTTACTAGGGCAACCAGAACTAGAAATGCAGACTAGCATCCGATCTGTATAGCAACTGCTGACATGCAGCAAAAAAACGTCATTGGTGGTGTGAACAGCTCTTCAATGATGACAATTTTAATTTTGGTGAAGGATTCCTTCCATGACGCTCCTGGCAAACCTTTTTAATTTATCACATTTAATTATTACGGAACATCGTAAGAACCATTTACATTTTTTAAACATTTAAATAATTATATTTTATGCATTCATTTTACGCATTTTTATTTTTGCAACAATGAAATAGAATAACATAGACCTACTGATAAAAAGTTTGTTCACTTACATTACTTTCAAATTTATATTATTAACAAAAAAGTGAATAATTAGTTTTTACTTTTAATAGGATACATGGAAAAAGAAGAAAAAAATATGTGTGTGTGTGTGTGTGTGTGTAACATAGTAGTAGGCCTATGTTTTGTAATGCCTTTTTAGCACTCTATAGCAAAAAATGTATTTATGAAAATTAATGAAAATGCAATGATCACTATTAATAATAATGGAAAAAAAGTAAAACATCCACACCAATTACAACAATGAGAATTTGGGGGAAAACTGTACTTAACTGTCTTGAAAATAATAATAAAAACAAATCTCAGTGGTCTTAAAGTTCTTCCTGCAAAATATAATAATTATATAGTTATTTTTTTACTTTGGTGTTGGTGTGAAACATGACACGGACTTGTTTTTTTCAGAATCACTAAACCACATAAGGGAACTTTGTGTGTGCGTGTGTGTGTGCGTGCAGTAAGGGACCTGTTGACATTAAGGAACTTGTTGCATAGAGTCTCCCTCCCCCTCAGTCTCTCCACCCCGCTCTATTCTACTTCTTGTCTGAGCGTGGAGTCTCTCTCAACCCCCGCTTAATTAGTGAGTGACACACACAGCAGGACAACCAACAGGAAAACACAAGCACTTGCACATTTGGCGCTGTTCCAGGAGCATAACATCTGATACACACATATAAGCATGCACGCGCGCACACGCACACACACACACATGCTCAGAAAGGTCAGGGCATTTTTGGGTTGCTGAAAACAGTGTTTCCAGTTGAAAGGGGAATTCCAGAAGTGTGGCCTTTTTTAGATTGTTGATCGAGAGATACAGTGATACATGAGTAAAGTGAGTTTGGTTGTGCACTACATATTGCGTATCACATGTGTATGTATGAATGTGTGTGTGTGTGTGCATGTGTGTTATGCAAGTCTCCCATAGGCTGAGTTTTAATTATTGGCATAAAGTCTGGTCCACGTTACTGCATATTCTGGCCACTCAGACAGAAAAAGACCATCTAAACAAGCGATTTTTCATTCTAAGCATGAGCATGAAGCATGACCCTCTTTCTAAAATAGGAAGTCGTTTAAAATAATAAGCATAATATTATAATTAAATTATTAAAGCCAAAACTAATTATTAAAATATGATTTCGATAATATTGACTGTCAATATCCGAATCAATATCAGAGTCTCACAAACGAATATCTAGGGATGGGCGATATCTTATCGTTTGCGATATACCGGTAAAAATTCTCCCCACGGATAATAATATGAATTTATGCAATAATCTCCTTCCTGTAATAATAACGATAAAGTCTAGTTGTTGACATATTTCTGTGCAAGAGCGCCCTCCGGCTTCCAGTATGAATTAAACAGTCTTTACATTACGTGTGAACTCATTAATGCTCACCCTATTTTGGGTAAAAATAGGAAAGATAATACTTTTCTTAAAAGAAACAGGATTCCCTGAATTATCTTCATTGATATCGTTATTGTAATAAATACCAGAAATATCGTGATATATTTTAAAGCCCATATCGCCCATCCCTACTAATATCTGATATATCAACAAATTGAAATCTGTGAGCAAGCTAAAGTGGAAAAAGTAACCAAAAATGCAAACTCTTTAAAGGCAGGGTGGGTGACATTTTTTCTTATGCTGGTTCTGCTGGAATCTCTTCACATCCCGACAGGAATCAGTTAAGTGGTCTAAATGTGGATGGCGTAGGACCATAAAATGTTTGTCCAATCAAATTCCTTGGTCCGAGGACTACGATAGGCTGTCCTACCTGCCAGTCAACATATGTATTTGCATACCTCCACGCGACCTGCTTGCGCAGACATTATTTGTCATCAGCGCGTTCCATTGCAGACCGAGCGAGAATGGAAAGCGTTATTATTGTTATATTATGCGCTGTGTACTGTAATATTTTCTCACCGGTGAATGAGACATGAGGTAATCTGACAACGCTGCATTCAACCCAACGCCATCTCTCAAGTAGAGACCTGCACTCCCGCGGGAGGACCGCGGGACCAGCGGGACCCAACGCAACAGGGTGCGGTGCGGGACAACTCTTGATGGGCGAGTGCGGGTGCGGGCGGGAAGAGACTCGTGTGTGTGTGTGTGTGTGTGCGGGATGCGGGAGAATAAAATGATTTGCGGGACTCCCGCAAAATAGAAATGATCTAAACATAAAGTGTTTAAAACATATAAATTGTAATTTATCTGTTGCACAAAAGCAAAAAGAACAACTAATATTAACATTAAAATGATTGACATGCGCAAACTAGGCATAGTTTCTATTTACAACACGTGTTTAAAAGGTTGCGCAATGTAGCCAATCACAGACTCAGCTGTTGATTTCTGGAACGCAATGGCCAATCAGAGGTGATTAAGTAAGAATCTACTCACCACAGTGCTGAAATTGCGTGCTCACTATTTTGCACTTTACATGACTGCATTTGTTGTTGCTAGGAGGAGGCACCGCAGAGAAAAGAGAGCGTGGTAGAAGAGAAAGGATTTTTTCCACGCATATTAATTTACTTGGAAAGCCAAAAGAACACATTATACGAATCGGAACATATCCTTACTCTAATTTGCACTGCGCTTGGTAGATTTCATTGGTCATTATGGAAATGAGATGTTGTGTCTGTGTTCTTTAATTTGTGCATTGTCAGTAAATTTCCACGCACATTGGCGCCATTTTGGAATAGCGCTCTCGCATTTATTTGCCAAGTTTAGTATTATTATCTGTGTTGTGCTGCCTAATATGTCTGTGGAAACCATGACACACTAGGATTAAAAATGTGGGGTAAGATTTTTTTCTTCTTCTTTTATTAAATTAATAATATTATTTATTTTAGGACGCATTAAATAGTCCCAATAAAATAAAACAAAATAAATTTATAATTTTACAAAAGTTTCCACAAAAATTTTACTGCGCAAAAAACAGTTTTTAACATTGATAATAAAAAGAACCATTATAAATCATTGAGCATGAGTAATTGAGCAGAAAATAGTATAAATATTACAACAACGTCAGAAGGATCATGTGACACTGAAGATCAGCTTCGTCATCACAGTAATTTCTTTCACTTTCAAAGTCATCACTTTACATTTTAAAATGTATTAAAATAGAAAAAACCAGGGAGGAGGTACAGCACCTGGCCGCATGGTGCACTGACAACAACCTGCTCCTTAACACCAGTAAGACAAAGGAGCTTATTGTGGACTTCAGGAAGAAGAAAGGAAACGCGCATGACCCCATCCACATTAGTGGGACAGCTGTTGAACGTGTCTCCAGCTTCAAGTTCCTGGGAACCCACATCTCGGAGGACCTGTCCTGGACCACAAACACCTCCAGCCTGGTCAAGAAGGCTCACCAGCGCCTCTTCTTCCTTAGGACACTGAAGAAGAACCAGTTGTCTTCAGCCATCCCGGTGAACTTCTACCGCTGTGCAATCGAGAACATCCTTTCCAGTTGTATCACAGTCTGGTATGGGAACTGCTCAGTTGCTGACCGCAAGGCACAGCAGTGGTGGTGAAAACCGCCCAACGCATCACAGGGACACCACTTGCTTTTCTGCTTATAGTGTACATAAACTTATTACATAATCCATCTGTATAGTATGTTCATAGTACACATATCTGTATATCATGCTGATAGTATTTAAAAATCTGTAAATTATGTCCATAGTACTGCCTTATCTGTATATTTATTGTACATTTGTAACATATTGGAGACACTGTATATCCTGTACTTACTGCTTATTGCACTTCTGGTTAGATGCTAACTGCATTCCGTTGCCTTGTACCTTACATGTGCAATGACAATAAAGTTGAATTGAATCTAATCTAAAAAAGTTCTTTTAAATTGTGATCATATTTCACAATATTACAGTTTTCACTGTATTTTTGATCAAGTAAATGCAGCTTTGGACCAAACCTTTGACCAGTACTGTACTTAACAAAAAAAAATTGCAATATTGTAACTGATTATATTTTAAAATGCTCAATCAGATCAGATTAGTTACTTTTTATACAATACATGTTCACATATTATTTACACAATGGCAGTAAATTATTGATAAGGTATTGATTTGCTCTAATACTTCTATTTTCTCTCTTAAATCTTCCTTCCTAAAAAAAAAAAAATCCTGCACACACCAGCCACTAGTCAGCTGTAATTACTCAGAAAATGGCGAGGCCACACAATTAGTTTAATTTGATATTTTTATGATTGAATTAATTATTAGCTTTCATCACCTCACGAACCCCCGCAGGTCTTTCCCAGTTTGGGAAATGTTGATAATGGATGGAAACATTTTAGGTCAAAAGTAATCTAAAAGTATTAAGTAATCAAGTAGTCAGAATACATTACTAATATGTGTAATCTGTAAAGCTAGTTGTACATTTGTAACATATTGGAGACACTGTATATCCTGTACTTACTGCTTATTGCACTTCTGGTTAGATGCTAACTGCATTCCGTTGCCTTGTACCTTACATGTGCAATGACAATAAAGTTGAATCGAATCTAATCTAAAAAAGTTCTTTTAAATTGTGATCATATTTCACAATATTACAGTTTTCACTGTATTTTTGATCAAGTAAATGCAGCTTTGGACCAAACCTTTGACCAGTACTGTACTTAACAAAAAAAAAATTGCAATATTGTAACTGATTATATTTTAAAATGCTCATAATCAGATCAGATTAGTTACTTTTTATACAATACATGTTCACATATTATTTACACAATGGCAGTAAATTATTGATAAGGTATTGATTTGCTCTAATACTTCTATTTTCTCTCTTAAATCTTCCTTCCTAAAAAAAAAAAAATCCTGCACACACCAGCCACTAGTCAGCTGTAATTACTCAGAAAATGGCGAGGCCACACAATTAGTTTAATTTGATATTTTTATGATTGAATTAATTATTAGCTTTCATCACCTCACGAACCCCCGCAGGTCTTTCCCAGTTTGGGAAATGTTGATAATGGATGGAAACATTTTAGGTCAAAAGTAATCTAAAAGTATTAAGTAATCAAGTAGTCAGAATACATTACTAATATGTGTAATCTGTAAAGCTACTCAGACAGATTGGATCTGATGTTTTGAGAAAGCTCATGCTATTTTGTGTTTAAAGCATCAGATAGTCAGTCTACGGACTGTGGGCGGCCCGTGGACAGTCGGTCTAAGGATGAGAGCAGCATTACGCCTACCTTTGGCATCTGGCTCCAAAACAGGGGTGAGTGACTCTCTTTGGTCTCCCGTGTCCATGGAGACACTCCTTTCCCTCTTTGCCTTGGTCTTCATTATCCCACCAACTCCACCGCCTGTTTGGTTGAGGCTCTTCAGTCCAGGGTTGCCAGGAGAAATCTGGTTGGATTTGACTCCATGGTTCCCAGACCCACTGCCCTTTGACCCTTGGTTGCCAGCAGGTCCTTGCTGCTGCTCTTGGTTTACATTGGGGAGCTGTGATTGGGCCCCGCTTGTCACTTGCTTGCCATGATTGGATAGTTTATTTTCAGAGTGCATTTGATTGGCTGGTGATGGAGAGGAAACTGAGGGGGTTGGGTTGCAGCAATATGTTGTGTCTGTCTGTCAGTGAGACTGCAAACAGACAGCTGAAAAGAGAAAGAAAGAGAGACATGAAAGAGAGTGAGAGTTTGTCTTGCACGTTTCTAGTAGTAGTATAGAGTCAATTTTACTCACTTCATATCAGACGCACACAGTAGGACTGGGAGGTATAACAGTTCATATTAAAAAACATTGTTAAACTCATGTGCAGTTGTGTATATACTGGCTATTTTACAATGGATGTATTATGAATGTAGCGTTAAACTTATGAAGGCTCTATTTTATAATATTAGTCTTACTAGTCTTTTGGTTTTAACTCAAAAATGTCCCAATCTTATTTCTTGGTGAAAATGATTAACTTTCAAAACTTAAACCAAATTTGCTGTGTTAGTCAAAAATATGTATTACCACATGGCTGTTTAATATTTAAAAATACTACTAACTTTTTTCTCTCTTAAATCTTCCTTCCTAAAAAAAAAAAAAATCCTGCACACACCAGCCACTAGTCAGCTGTAATTACTCAGAAAATGGCGAGGCCACACAATTAGTTTCATTTGATATTTTTATGATTGAATTAATTATTAGCTTTCATCACCTCACGAACCCCCGCAGGTCTTTCCCAGTTTGGGAAATGTTGATAATGGATGGAAACATTTTAGGTCAAAAGTAATCTAAAAGTATTAAGTAATCAAGTAGTCAGAATACATTACTAATATGTGTAATCTGTAAAGCTACTCAGACAGATTGGATCTGATGTTTTGAGAAAGCTCATGCTATTTTGTGTTTAAAGCATCAGATAGTCAGTCTACGGACTGTGGGCGGCCCGTGGACAGTCGGTCTAAGGATGAGAGCAGCATTACGCCTACCTTTGGCATCTGGCTCCAAAACAGGGGTGAGTGACTCTCTTTGGTCTCCCGTGTCCATGGAGACACTCCTTTCCCTCTTTGCCTTGGTCTTCATTATCCCACCAACTCCACCGCCTGTTTGGTTGAGGCTCTTCAGTCCAGGGTTGCCAGGAGAAATCTGGTTGGATTTGACTCCATGGTTCCCAGACCCACTGCCCTTTGACCCTTGGTTGCCAGCAGGTCCTTGCTGCTGCGCTTGGTTTACATTGGGGAGCTGTGATTGGGCCCCGCTTGTCACTTGCTTGCCATGATTGGATAGTTTATTTTCAGAGTGCATTTGATTGGCTGGTGATGGAGAGGAAACTGAGGGGGTTGGGTTGCAGCAATATGTTGTGTCTGTCTGTCAGTGAGACTGCAAACAGACAGCTGAAAAGAGAAAGAAAGAGAGACATGAAAGAGAGTGAGAGTTTGTCTTGCACGTTTCTAGTAGTAGTATAGAGTCAATTTTACTCACTTCATATCAGACGCACACAGTAGGACTGGGAGGTATAACAGTTCATATTAAAAAACATTGTTAAACTCATGTGCAGTTGTGTATATACTGGCTATTTTACAATGGATGTATTATGAATGTAGCGTTAAACTTATGAAGGCTCTATTTTATAATATTAGTCTTACTAGTCTTTTGGTTTTAACTCAAAAATGTCCCAATCTTATTTCTTGGTGAAAATGATTAACTTTCAAAACTTAAACCAAATTTGCTGTGTTAGTCAAAAATATGTATTACCACATGGCTGTTTAATATTTAAAAATACTACTAATAATAATAATTATTAACAAACAATTGTTTGTTGTTGTTGAATGTCATGCCATATAACTATATTGTGATATATATACAATTACCATGATATAAAATTACTTACAGTAATATATATATGATTTGGTTCTAACCCTCCACCAATCACATCCAAGGAATCAAAATGATCATTTAATACAGCCATAAAATAACACTGTTTTTCAAAGTTATATATGAATATATAATTGTAAGTCTGAATATATCACTAAATCTTAATATAAGAATGTAAATTGTGAATATATAGTTACAAATCTGAAAATATCAATGTAAAGAGTATGTATTTATAATTCTGAATATATAAATGTAAATAATTAACGTATAGTTATAATTCTGACTGTATAACTGTAAATCTCGAATATATAAAGTTATAATTCTCAATATATTCTGTAAATGTAAATTTATACATTACATAATTTATATAAATGTAATATATTTATAAACCCTAAATATAAAACTGCAAATCTGAATAGAAATGGTCTACATCTCATATTATAAGACATGTTAATAGACATTAATGTTTTTATTTTTATAAAAACAGTATGCCTATACATCTTGTATACATGAATCAATGCAAATATTGTACTATATAAATTATTGTAATAATTATTACTTATTTTAAATGTCTCAATTAAATCACTGTTTGTAGACAGATTGTTGATCATTTCACTAGCCCGGTTGAATTGTGTAGAAGAGCTAGATATTTACACTATCACTGACTGTGAGGAACTTCCAGCACTACAGTCAGCCTTTTTAGGGTGTGTTCACACTTGTAGTTTGGTTCATTTGGTCCGGACCAAAAAAGGAAAATGATACATTTGGTCCTGGTCCGCTTAGGTTCGCTGTCAAAAATGCCAATGTGAATGTTAAGGACACTGAACCTTAAGGCATAGTGATACGTTCACAATATGATTGGCCGGCTTGAATGACGAATATATCGTGACGGAACTCACCGAACACCCCACACAAAAGGTGCGTTAGACTTAAAGGGTTAGTTCACCCAAAAATTAAAATTAGGCTGTGTTTTACTCACCCCAGAGGCATCCTAGGTGCATATGACTCTCTTCTTTCAGACGAATCCAGGCGGAGTTATATAAAAAAAAAAAAAAAAAAAACGGAAGCAGTTCCGGGCGGATGACGTATGAGGTCAGCGTTGCGCATGCGCAGTCTCGTGAAAACCAACATTTGTTTACAGGATCAAATGAAGCAAAGTTTCTTTACATTAGCGAAGGAAAACCAGTCTCCTCTTGGCTTATATCGAAATCCTCTGACATTCTTCTTTACAAATCCTCATTTTGTACTTCTAATAAGTGACCGTTGTTTTGTTTTGATCTTTCTACTGCGTTTCTGCGTGCGTCCCTTCTGAGCGGCACATGCGCAAAGCCGATCTCATACGTCATTCACCCAGAACTGCTTCCGTTTACAACAGTGAGCGCAAGCTACATTAAAGTGATTATTACGTTTTGAATATGGATATTTTTCTTACAAAAACGCATCGATTCGCTACAGGAGGACTTTGTTCACCCCCCGGAGCTGTGTGAGACACTTTTTTTTTTTATGGATGAGGGCTTTTTATTTAACTTCTTTTGGACTGAAGCACTGCAACACCCACTGACTGCAATGATAGAGCTTGGAATAGCCAGGACAATTTTTAATATAACTCCAACTGGATTCGTCTGAAAGAAGAAAGTCATATACACCTAGGATGCCTCGGGGGTGAGTAAAACACAGCCTAATTTTCATTTTTGGGTGAACTAACCCTTTAACGTTAAAGCTTGAAGATGAACACACCTAATGCCGTCTGCTGGACTAAGCGCGCTCATTCTTGTGTGTACATATAACTTTATTTTCACCACCTGCAAACTCACAAGGAGCTCATAAAAGGCACTTTACCTCATCATTGCTCCACGTTTGCCCTCATTTTGTTTTGGTTACACCGCGTCATCAAATCATGTCGCATAGCGTCGCATCTTGTCATTGCTTCCTGTTTTTGGTTCGTTTAGAAGTATTTGGTCCTTGTTGCGTTCATATATCATTCGAACCGCACCAGAGTTCGTTTGGAAGCAAACTGAGACGCATCTTTTCAGTGGTCTCGGCCCACTTGTTTGGTGCGCACCAGGGTTTGGATGGCAACGCTCTCACTTACTCAAACGAACCGCAACTAACAGAGCAATCGCACCAGGGTTCATTTTAATCGAACCAAACATGACAAGTGTGAACGCACCCTTAAAGTAGAGAAACCGCATCAGGAGCTCAAAGAGTAGAGAAATTCTTGTATTATAAATGTAAATGACCTTGTACGTGTTTAGAACAGACACAATCTCAGGACACCGAAGGCTGGTTTGCAGGGGATGTTGCAGGTTTGCTGTGGATTTACGCACCTCACTGGGATGAAGGTCCAACAAGCAAGTGCATTCCGACGTCGCCTCACTGCATGCGCACTGATCTGTAACACACACCACAGAGATTTAATTATGCTTTCATTTAATTCCATTATGACTCATTATCACACAAAAACATTAAAAATAATGAGATATTTTAGCATAATGACTAGAGAGAAACGACAGCCTTTGAAAGAGAGAGAGACTTTTGGACAAGTGTAACTGTCCCTTTAAGAAGGAGGCTGCAAATGATGTTTGGACACGGTGATGCCCAAGAAGTGAGTTTCCCGTTTAATTTGCTCGACCCACAGTGAGCAGAAACCACAAAAACTCCCCACCTTCAACAATAATATTTTTCATCAAACAGTTCTTATTTTCACTCTCTCTCTATTTATTGTTTCCCACTCCCTCGTCTTGTTCATACAGCCATGCACATATCAATGTTTGCAAATGAATAAGAGGCATTTACATATTTCCTAAAGATCCTAAAGGGCTCTGATCTCATCTGACTAAATTAACCTCTAGCATAAACCCATTTACCATTTACAGTCTTTCACTTCTGACAATGGACTGATGACTCATCTTGCACTCAGAGGTGGGTCCATTTTTGTCCAATCAAATGCTTTCTAGTTTAGAAAGAGAAAATCCCACCCTAAAAAAAAAAAAAAAAAAAAAAAAAAAAAGAGACAAGCCCTTTGATATGCCACCAACTTTTAATTGTGATTTATTTATTTATTTTTTGATAGAAAATTATGATTTCTATTTTTTATTTTATTATTTTTTAAAGGTTTGCTGTGCTTTTTTGTAGGGATACACAATAAAGCCAAAAGTTTGTGATTATCTATCAATATGACTTTAAAATATAACAATAACAAATTGTTAGTAGTAGCAGTAGTAGTAATAGTAGTAATAATAACAACAACATTAACTACTATTATTATTATTATTATTATTATTATTATACTAACAATTTGTTAGTTATATTTCATTTAGTAATAATATTTATTTAATTATATAATAATACAACTAATAATAATATTAATAACAATAATGATTTATTTTACATTTTCTGTCCTTTTATTTTAATAATTAAACCATCAAACTTTTATTTTGACAGACAACTGCAAGTAGCCCTTATAGCTTCCCTTTTGTTGACAAGAGTTTCTCACTACAAGTATGGGTGCATGTTGCATTCCTAAATGCATGTTAGTAACCCAAACTCGGAGCAGATGCAGGGATGGAGTTCTGAACCACTCTGAGACGCTACAGTGGAGCATAACTTGCTCACGTGTAAATGAACACAGTACCAAGCTTCACTATGAAACATGCAGCACATATTTAATTAAATCGCAGTTTGATTGCAATTTGATAATCACTCTAAGCCATTACGCGATTTTGATGAATCATGCAGCCCTAACATCAAGACAGAAAAAAAAATGCATTCATCAAACCCCTTCAGGGGCTCTTGAAGATATATTTACAATGGACACCAACTGATCACATTCCAAGCGTTACCGTAGATCCAGAACTAACACACGCACGCACACATACACACACCTCGGCACAGCTGCCAAGACTGAAATGTGCGAAGGATTGGGTTTCTCTCATGTGAATGAAAGAAGAACTACACACAATCCCAGCAGCCACCTGCCTTTGTCCATAACCTGCAGAGATCTCCTGCATGTGTGTGTGTGTGCGCGTTGAGGGAGTTCCCATGCTGTCATTACAGGTCTGTCATGTAGACTGTGTGGGAGAGGCATGTGGTACATGTCATACATACAGGTCTGAACAGGACACCCTGACACCTGTTGCACAAGAGACATTCACACACACACACCCACCCAATGACACCGGCGTTCATGCAAATGATAAAAAAAGGCCTTACTTTCCATATTCTAAAAGCTAGCAGGGCTGCACGAATTGGGAAAAAAGAATCAAATTGTGATTTTTCTGGTAAAAATTGTGACTGAAAATAATTAGGGCTGAAGAATTTTGCCAAAATATTGTGATTGCAGTACATAATAATAAAATAATAATAATAATATTTATTATTATTATTAAGTAATATATATATATATATATATAAAATAGTTTAAACAAATTAAAGAAAAATGAAAACAATTAAAAAATTGAATTTGAAAATAAAACATAAAACATAAAAAACAAAATATAAAACATAAAAAAAATTACAGTGGGCCTTAAAAATTAAATTAAACTTTTAATAAACTGTTGTTTAATTGTTCATGATTATAATTCAATAGACTTTTTTTTTCTTTTCTTTTTTTTACAATTAAAACCAAAAAATCCAGTCCAGAAAAATTTAAATGGAAGAAAAACGGTAATACTTTACAACACGTTTTCATTTGTTAACATTAATGTATTAACTAACATGAACAAACCATAACCAATACATTTATTACAGTATTTATTAATCTTTGTTAGCGTTAGTTAACTAATGAAACCTTATTGTAAAGTGTTAGGTAACTTACAAAAACTTAAAAACCCAGGAATTTGGGGAAAAAATAAAACCGATTTCATATAGGGCTCTAAAACATTTTTGTTAAACTTTTAGTACATTTTTAAAATTGTTACATTGTTCACGACTTCAGTTAATTAAATTACTCAAAATTTTATGTAACCATAAAAACAGAGTCCAGAAAAAATACAAATGAGAGAAAAAAAATGGAATTTAGAAAAATTTAAATGGAAAAACGGAACTTGGGGAAAAATATATATATCATAGCACTCTAAAAATTACATTTTTGTTAAACTTTTAATAAACTGTTGTTACATTGTTCATGACTTCAGTTAATTAGACATGCTTTTTGATTGCTAAAATTGAAATGTAACCATTAAAACTGAGTCCAGAAAAATCTAACAAATGAAGGCGACCGCAGGGCCGTGTTGATGGTGTTTGAAATGAAGGCGGGTGTGTTTGTGTGAGTCACGGGAGAGAGTGACTCAGTGGTAAGGTGACGCCGCGGAGCTCAGCGCTGTCTATTTCCAGAGCCGCGGTCATGTGACTCGACAGCTGGACCTGCAGCTGAAGACCAGCACAGCTGTGAGACCCACGCCGCGCTTCAGCTGGAGCCACTAACTCAGCTCATAACCCAACATTACCCACATCAGCCTTGTGCAGGTCTCCAGACGCTTTCTATCGGCCCGATGAGCTAAACCACAGCGTCACAGAACTCTATCTTTTTATATTTTACATTTTAATTTAAATGTGTTTTAGTTTTTTTTATATATATGTCTATATAGCTTTTCAGTTTTAGACATTTTAGTACTTCAGCTTAAACTTAAATGAAAATGAGGTATGTTGTATTGTTAACTGAAATAAAATACATTTAAATGTGTATAATAACATTTAGCAAAAAAAAAGTATAAATGTATTTTTTTCAAGTAATTGCTTATTAGAAATGGTATATATATATATATATGGTAAATTTGTTTTCTCCAGTGTGTGTGAATATATATATATATATATATAATACATACTGTATATAAAAGGAGGTTTGTTGTGTTTAGTGCTGAACAATTTTGCCAAAATGACATAAAAATAATAATAAATAAAAATAATACAATAAAATTGCAAAAAAGATGATCATATTATTAAAATAATTATAACCTAATTATTTTATTTTACATTACAATCGGAACACAGTGTTACGCTTCACTCACACACAGTGCATATATTTATTTCATTAAATCCCAGCTCAGATTTAAAGTCATATCGCAATTTCGGTTCGATTTTGATTAATTTTGCAGGCCTCAAAGCTAATAAATCCAAATTTTTCAGTCATAAATAGTTGGTACATATTACAAATACACAGGCACAAAAACACTTCCAGTCAGACGTAAAGCGTGTCGGTGACGGGTAGCGGGGTCCCACACATATTTCCATCCCAGAGACATTCAAGCTATTGACCTCAAAAACAAAAGACACAGTCCCTCTCCCACCCCCTCACCAGCACACCTCTGTCCCTCCATCACGCTCTCCGTCTCTTCAACGGGAAACTTTTTTTTCCACTTGCTGCCGTTCACAAACACCCTCTGCTTCCTCTATTAAGTTATGTGCGCCCTTTCTTTCTCTCGGCCTCAAATAACAGAATCTTTCCCCTTCTCTTTCTCTCGAGGTGTGTCATTTCTGTGCCACAGCGGCACCAAACGGATATGCGAAAATAGTTAGATTTCTACATTTTCTGAAAAACATGTGGGTGGTGTTTACCTGTGCAAAACTCAGCACCATGATGTTGTGGGTGTTAAAGGGATAGTTCACCCCCAAAAAAAGTGCTATTAATTTACTCACCCTCAGGCCATCCAAGATCAGACCGATCTTTTCACTTCATAAGACCTCAATATATCATCAGAAGCTATGGGTATTCATTTTGTGTTGCCTGTATATGCTTTTCTGACTGTCAAACTGACGGTAGCCGAGGACTTGCATTTTAAGAAAGAAAATACACAATGTATCTTTAAATTGACATTTCAGAGGCGTTATCTCACACACAACCTGCTGGACACCAATTAGTCATTAACTAAAAGACACACAGTGCTCATCACTCATTAACCCCCAGAGGAAATTCTCTCATGATAATGTATCGGAGCAACCTTTGTGCTCATCATCTAGTGTGGACAGGTCAGGTCGACTGAGCTAACTACGATCATTAGCATTAGAGGTTGACCAATATGAATTTTTTTAATGGCAATATGATTTTTGAATGTGCCAGCGACAGTGATGATTATACATCTTGTCCCTTGTTAAAAACAAGTACACTTCAGCATACAATTAAATGAGTACCTATTATAGAAATAATTTACTTAAAAAAAATAATAATAATAAACTTCAATCCACTAAAATATGTAATCAACATACGGACTAAAGACTGAAAATCTTCAATTGTAATTTCATGGGGTCTTTGTTTCTTGTTCTTAAAACATTAAACATTAAAGATCCCATCAAAATAAAGTACTGATTAATTTTGTCCAATCAAATGCTCTCTAAAACGAGAATGTCCCTCCCCTCCCTTACAAAAATTAACCATGGTTTTACTATAGTAAAAGT